GAGGCTGTACGAGAGGCGGTGACAACTGACATGCATCGTGACGTCGGTTACCAAGGAGACAGACGAGAATGGCTAGTGACGTCAATACATTGTGACGTCATGAAAAAGTGTACTACAGTACACAATTCTTCCGCAACCTCTTTATGAAACCGGTTTCGGTTTGAAACCATAACAATAACATAAATACGCTATTTGCCAATTTAATGCATGTAAGACGCGGGTAATAAGACGCGGTCTCATTACATACGAATTATACGAAACTCTTAACCTTCCTATGGTTTCTACCTCGCTTTCGCTCGGTCAGATAACATAGGAAGGACACTCGTTTCGTATAAATCGTATTTAATGAGACCTCGTGTGGTATTCTCTGTTGACTTTATTGTAGACGCCCTTTGTCTAGCAGCATCAGATATGAAAAGAAAGTGTGGAAATATGAAAAATTATTTTAATGATTGGTATGATGATGAATGTAGAAAACTTAAAACTCAACTCTGCAAATCACTGAACAAGTTTAGAAAACGTAAAGATATATCATCATTGGAACAATATTATCTATCAAGAAATAAATATGATGATTTGTGTAAGCAGAAACGCACTGCATATTATAAAGAGAAACAGAATAAAAGAGAAAATAACATTAATGACTCCAAAAGATTTTGGTACGAATTGAAATATGTAAATAGAAAGAGAGTTCCAAAAGGCAATATCCAAACACACGAGTGGTTTCACCACTTTAAAACATTGTTTTCTGGTGCAAATGTAGATATTGAGAGAAATACTGAAAGTGATGACCATAAGTTTTTGTTAAATGATGACCCAAACAGTGACCTTACAAAAGAAATTCTTGACTCTCCAATATCCAGAGAAGAGACCTTAGATAGCATAAACGACCTTAAACTCAACAAATCCCCAGGAATAGATAATTTAATTCCAGAATTTTTCAAGTACTCTGCTGATCTTCTACTACCTTATCTTGAGTTAGTTTTAGAAAAAGGGACATTTCCTACCTCCTGGTCTGTTGGGATAATAGTTCCTTTACACAAGCAAGGTAATTTGAACAATGTTGACAACAACAGGAGAAACACACTGTTAAGTTCCCATGGTTCCTTGTTTGGTGATCTACCTTCAGTTGTTGGCGATCTATAGCCATTTTGTATATTGTATTGTCCAAACAGTGCTATTAGTTTTCTTTCCACACTAGTTTTAGTTGTAATTGTGATATTCTAGTTGTTTTACTGTCCTTTGAAGACAGGTTTTTATAATATACACATATTACATTTCAATGACAAATATGTACTCGTCACGATATGGCTGCAATCGTGCCAATGAAACGTTAAATAATAACTCACTCACTCACTATGATAACACGCTCTCATAGAAAACTGTTATATAATTCTAGTCATTTCTGCATGCTTAAGTCTTCCAAAGCTACGAGGTAATCTCCAGATTCAGATAGTCAGCAGTTTAGATTAGCAGCATTTGTAAGTATTGTATAAAGAAGTGACCGTTGAACAGGCGACCATATCACGAACTCTGAGAGCATCTGTGGTATAAATAACGGCCTTTATTCTGGGTATTTCCCTCATGAAATACACCGAATATAGACTGGTCACTAATCGAAGCTTCTCTTGGTTATTTGAAGGTAAGCCATGTTCATTTCATTCATTGTGTGTTCTTAAATTGTTCACATTTTCTCTATTTTCTATTGCGTCCCATACTGCTAGTTTATACCAATATTATAATCTAACTTGTGCAATATTGATTAAGTACACCAGGAAATATTTGTATTCTAGTTAGGTCAGGCCATGTAACACTATTCTAACAATTTAGTGTGCATCAAAATAGTCTACAGTATAACATAGTAACATTAAGACATAATATAAGTTCAGTTAATCACAATTGCATATAATCGGGCTCGTGGAAGCAAAGTAATTCTTGTGAACGTGTTGTATATTGTATTGAGTGTTTGCAATCAAAGTGTATGCCAGCGAATGTATTTCTAAAAGATTATTATGGGTGTTTAATTCAAATGTTCGATGCTACCTTTCATAAACAAATGTTTAAACAACGTACATATAATGCGAGGCTACAATACTGTACACGCAAAACTCGAGAGCGCACATAGACCTTATTGTTTCATTCTGTTGCTCAACCATTGCTACGTTCACAGTACCGTTCAGCTCTAATTATGTATACGTTGAACACTTTCAATAGAATGCCGTTCGGCATATGATCTTAGTAATTCACGATAGTCTAGATATTTACATGTGGTCATATGATTCAACTAGCAGACTGAAAGTTTATATTATTTGTGAATTCTTATTATTCTGTTTAAGTTGTATTCTGTTTGGATTTAGCAAAGTATTGCCTATCATTTATGACCTCCATAAACATAGAGTGAGTGAGTGAGTTAAAATTTAACGTCACATCGGCAATATTTCAGCCATATCGTGACGAGAACATTTGACATTGAAATAGAATATATATAGATATTATAAAAACCTGCCTACGAAGGACAGTAAAAATACTAGATAATCACAGATATGAATATAAAACTAGCGAACAAAGCTAAAATATTCCAATTAAAGAAGACAATACAGTGTAAAAATGGACTATAGATCGCCAACAACTGAAGGTAGATCACCATACTAAGGCCCCCATAAACATAAAAGATTATTTTTGCAATTTGTATCACATGTACTACGTGTCTTACTGAAGAGTTACCTCATCATTCTCTCATCTTATTATGAGATTATTATTAGTCAAAGTTTGAAATTTTGCCAATGTTTTATTATGTAATTTGACTCATGAAATACACCGAATTAAGACTGTCCACTAATCGATGCTTCTCGTGGTTATTTGAAGGTGTTGTGGTCCCAAGCTAATTCCCCGACAACAAATTCTAGGTATTATAGTATCCTAGACCAAATATAAACCCTAAAAAGGTTACTATAAGGTGAAGGTTATCATGCTACAATGTCACGCTCGTTGCGAATGTTTTCACCTGCTTTCTTTATGGAAATTTTACATGGTGTGCTTGTGTGTCGAGCAAGGTCGGATAAATTGGTCAAGTTAGTAAATTGTTTGTGTAGATTAGGGCTCAGAGGCATCTGGTTATTCCAAAGGTTCAGCAACAAAAATGTAAACTGTTTATTTCTTCTCTGTTTTTGCAACGTTTGAGGGACAACAGATCTGACACAGTGATTTACATGCTAGTCATGAAATGACCTATTATGCAAACTTTATGGTTTCCATAAACTGTGAAAATTCAAAACTGTTCCTTCTCGCTTCCGTTTGGGTTGTCATAATATGGAATTTGAGCGTGGTCGAACACCTCGATATTTCAGAAAATGTAATCGTTGTAACTGAATTCCAGTGTCTGTTAGCATGACCAGCTTATATACACATTTACATCCCGCCTTCCATAAGTTTAATATCTGATGTCACCGCCAAACCCTATCATTATTTCTAATCTAGCAAAATATCTGTTCATATGGAAAGATTGAACCTTTAGCTGAAACTCCGCCTGGACAATAATATTTCAACATTTCTTCCACGTACGCTGTACACCCTGGGTCGTGTATACAACAAAATCCAGAAAAAAGTGTCTACTTCGTGCGAATGGGTTACTGAGCTAATTAACGCCAGACAATAGATATAGTTTGTGATTACAAGACTTCGGGCAATACCAAATTGTGAAATTATAAGGAAAGGAACAATTATTATTATTTATTTTTTACAATTTTAATAAATAAGACACGATGTCGGCTAACACAGTGGCAATGATGTCCCCACGGTTTAGTGGCCTTTCCTGGTGGCCTCGTTTATTTCTTGCAGGTTGAAGCATTTCGCCTTTTTGGGAAATTTGTGATCTAACTGTACGTTTGCCATAATTTTGTCAGAATCATATAGTACAATTTCTTGACACTGATTCACGTTTGAGTATATTTACTCACCTCTCGATGTATACTTTTCGGTGTGTCGTATTGTATGAAATCATTCAACGCTGAAAACAGAACAGAGTTCATGAAACTTTAACAATTATGGATAACGCAGTTCACATTTTAACACTTCCCGACTAGTTAATTCCTTACAAAAACAACAGACCATATCAAAGATACACCATCTGTCCACGTCCTGCTAATGCAAAATTTATCAACCGTCCACGTCCTGAGAATGAACCATAAGCTCACATTAAGTCACTGTCTACCAGGGCCTGGCTATGCTGGACATTGTTACGCAACAAAAGATTATTTCTGTCATTGTGCCTGTATATAAAGAATTTAGACATGGTTCCCTCATTGCAAAATGTCAAACGCACGGATTAACATTCAGTTCATTCCAAATTCAAGGAGAGGTATTCACTTAATCTATCTAGGTCACAAGTTCAGGATTACGAGAACAAAAAGGGTCGGAGTTCATTGGAAATGTTAAATGTTGTAAGACAGGTTGTCCTGCAACCGCCAACACCGTCAGTGATGTTGTCATATATTTATGAAAAGAAAAGAAATATTTGTGTATATTTATTTCTGTCTTCGGTAACCCTTTTCTCATGTTCTGAAAATGTACGAAATGTGTATTCATGAATTAACATGGGTAGTAGATCTAAGTGTCTGTCGTCAATTATGTTCATACATACCCAGATTCCGTCCACTTTGACACCAGCTTGACAGTTGACAGGGTGTTTGTTTCTCCTTACAACTACCTTTGTGTAGTTGGCTGAAAACAAAGCTTTGGTCCCTTTTTGGGCACCCTCAAAAACGTATTCCCGATTCTTGTTTTTTCTTGGTTTTTCTCAACATGATAAATAGACACCTGTGAACAATTTTCTGCAATAATTGGCCTGTTATCACAAATGTCTAGGTTATTTTATTTTGACGCCGATTTCTTCTGGTCTAGTACGTAGTGGGTCCACCAAGTGCATGTTTCAAAAGGCCTGATTTACATGAATACACACGCCTTTAACTGCAGCTGTTACTGCGCATTGCAGTCGCCTGGCAGACTTGAATTACAAGCGCAGTCTGGGCACGGGAGTACACTGCACCGACACTGATACTGATAACATTCAGCCTGTGAGTATTATTAACTTCATATCCATATAATATTTCCTTTCACTTTCACTTGCAATAGAAAATATTGAATAGATTCGTTGAATGTATGTGTTTTCAGAACATATAGGTGTATATATCAGGTCTTAGTATCTTTAGGTCTTCAAGGTTTTCTCGATGCATAGTGTGTGTATGACTTCGTATGACTGTTCATGTATTTGACGTACATGTAATCACGAGTGACAGATAAGATATATGTGTGACAAGTCAATCTGCTGTCTGGGATGGTGTACGGCAAATAAGGTATTATGTCATAGATAGTACCTGCTGTCTAGTATGGGGTAAGGGAACCAAGGTATGTATGTGTTAATTCGTAGTTGTTGTCTGGTATGGGGTTGTGGAACCGAGGTATGTATGTGTTAATTTGTAGTTGTTGTCTGGTATGGGTTAAGGCACTGAGGTATATATAGTATGACCAGAAATTATTGAGAATTTTAGGAATATGTTTTAATTGGATTTCTAGTATAAACAACCTTGACCAGCTATTAAGTGCTTGGTTTCATCCAAGAGAGACAACTACGTTAATCCTTTTCATTAGTTTGTGAAGAGTTATCCCCCTTTGTTTACTTGCTAGCAGACGACATTTTCTTCAGTGATCCTCAGTATGGATGACTTAGAGAAGAGGAAGTTGATTTTAGGGTATTATAACAAGGACATCAGATCAACTAAAGTGATTTCAAGTAGAACAGGCATCCCTTTGTCGACTGTTTATCGTGTTTGACAAATATTGCAAATGGATATGGCACTGAGAACCAGGGAGGCGCAGGTAGGCCTAGACAATTGACTATCGGTGACAGGAGGCGGCTTGGTATTCTTGTTTCTAAAAACAAACGAAGGAGTTTAAAAAACTTAAGGCTGGATATGATTGATAGAGGAACTGTGTCTGTCTGTAAGATGAGAATTAGAACTGAGCTGCATGCAATGGGTTGGCAGAAAAGTCGAGGAATTCCATCACCGATCATGAAACCTGAACAAAAGGAGCGAAGGTTGAACTGGTGCTTACAGCATAGACATTTTAACTGGGACAATGTGATTTTCTAAGATGAAAGTTCTGTGTGGCTGTTTCCTAAGACACTGAAATTCTGGACCAAACAAACTGAAAAACCTTTGTATCAGCGCCCAAAGTACAGTCCGAAATTTAATGTGTGGGGTGGCATATCTGTGTTAGGGGCAACGCCCCACTGTGTATTTGAAGGGAGTATGAACAGTGAGCGGTACACAGATATTTTCGAGGGACATTTACTTCCATCTGCTCACGTGTTCTATGGCAATGTTACGATTTTCCAGCAGGACAACGACCCAAAACATCGTTCAAAGCATTCACAGGCCTGGTTTCGGACCCAAAATATGACATTATTACATTGGCCAAGCTATAGCCCTGACCTAAATCCAATAGAAAATGTTTGGGGACTTATGAAGGGAAGTGTCAATAAGAAAAATATGACAAATATTGCTGAAATGAAAAAAGAGGTGGTCCGATATTGGGACAGCATGGACCACGACTTTCTAACTTCTTTAATCAGTAGTATGCCCCGCCGCATTGAAGCCTGCATTGCTGCCCATGGTGACTTGACAAAATACTAACTGTTCACCTGTCTTTGTCTTTCTGCTAATATTCACAATTAATACGTGAGTAATGAGTGAAACAAATAAACAAATTACAATCTTTAAATTCTCAACAATTTCTGGTTGTACTGTATGTGACAGTTCGTAGCTGTTGTCTGGTATGGGTTGGGAAACTGAGGTATGTATGTGAAAGATCATATCTGCTGTATGGAATGGGGTTTGTGAACTGAAGTATGTATATGAAAGATCTAACCTGATGTCTCTGTTTGGGACCTGTAAACAAATTATGTATGTGATATATCGTTTGTATGTGATACATCGTATCTGGTGGTAGGTATTGGGTGGTGTAACTTTTTAGTGAGACCTGTCGAGGAAGAATGGATAAAACATGAGCTAAAATTAATACATCTGGATATATGTAATTTGATGAGTTGGGAAGGTATAGTTTAGGAGTATGCTTTGCTAATCGGCGTACTAAACAATATGTACCTGCCTATTGTAGATGACCCTGAAATAACCCAACTCACAAAAATGGACACACTTTAGACTTATTGATTACAAGGACCAATGAAATAATGTTTATGATTTCATCTATGACCATTCTGTTCATTCCGACCATGTTGGTTTACTCTGCTCCACAAGTGTTCACAATCCCCAACGATCAACCATTCGAATACCTTCATCAGTTTCTTCACGGACAATATTCTTAACATCGTACATCTCGCGATCAATGTGACCAATGTGCGCTCGTGAGGAGACAGTCATATATGTACATACATTGACATAGTGCACCAACCACTGAGAAAGATATCGGTATTTTAATTGCACAAAGTCCAACTAAAACGTGTTCTGTCCCATGGCTTATTGTATAAACAGGCATTCGTCACCACTCGCCCCTTTCCGTAACCTCCAGTCGGCTTGTCCCGGACGAGCACTAATAACACCTCTTTTAAAGAAGCCAACATTGGAACCAATCATGTCTTTAAGAACTATCGTCCAGTTTCAAATCTGCCATTCATTTCCAAATTGATAGAGCGTGTTGTAGCAAACCAACTGAAACAACACCTCCTGGACAACAATCTTGGTGATATCATGCAGTCAGCATACAAAATAGGTCACAGCACAGAAACAGCTTTGCTGCGTGTGCAGAATGACCTTCTGCATGCTGTTGATTCCAAGGGAGCGGCAATTCTTGTCCTCTTGGATCTATCAGCAGCATTTGACACAATAGACCATTCCACTCTCTTGGAAACTCTACAGTTACGTCTTGGAGTCACTGGCGATGCGTTATCATGGTTTCAATCGTATCTCACAGGACGCAAGCAATCAGTTATCATCGATGGGGTAAGGTCTGAGAGCAGAGAATTAAGGTTTGGAGTGCCACAAGGCTCAGTCCTAGGCCCAATCCTGTTCACTGTATATACCATACCCGTTGGTGATATAGCCCGAGCCCACAATCTCAGCTATCATCTCTATGCTGATGACACTCAGCTATATCTCGGATTCAAGCCACAAACTGCATCTTCTGTACAGAATACCCTGCAGGCAATAACAAATTGCATAGCTGAGATCAAATGTTGGATGAACAGTAATTTTCTGAAATTGAACGATGACAAAACTGAGATTCTCATCATCAGCTCCAAACAGACAAAATCAAAGTTCAAGGTCCCTGGAGTTCAAATTGGAGACACGTTTGTTCAACCAGAAAGCCATGCTCGAAATCTAGGTGTCATCTTTGACTCAACATTAAGCATGGAAAATCACGTCAGTAACATCTGCAAATCTGCATATTTCCACCTAAGGAACATCAGACAGATTAGCAGGTACATGGACACACCATCAGTAAAATGCCTAACCCATGCACTTGTGACATCACGTCTCGACTACTGCAACAGTCAACTCTATGGAATACAGCAGAAGTACATGGATAAGTTACAGCGTGTTCAAAACACAGATGCCAGGCTCATAACACACACACATATGTATGTGCATATAACACCAGTCCTGGAAGACTTAATCTGGCTCCCTGTAATAGACAGAGTTGTATTCAAACTTCTTGTGTTTGTTTACAAGTTCATTAATGGGCTTGCTCCATTCTATCTCCAGGAACTAGTCAACATTCACAAGCCTGGAAGGTCACTCAGATCAGCTAGTCAGCAAAGCTTAGATGTTCCATCTGTCCGAACCACAACATACGGGGACAGAAAATTTAGCAGAGCGGGCGTTGTACTCTGGAATGGATTGCCTGAAAATGTCAGAAAATCGGAAAATATCAACAGTTTCCGATCTTGTCTCAAAACCATCCTCTTCAAACGAGCATTCGACTAAGCGCACATGAGCAGGACTCTGGATATGTAGCGCTATACAAATGTCTAATTTGATTTGATCTCAGATGTTGTCCGTTCTTGTATTCCTGGGATATTGTCATAAACAGTGAAATAATGTTCACACAACACCGTTTTGCAAAAAATAGCGCCGTGAAATTAAAACCTAAATATAAATGCTAGAAACAAACCCTTTTCAACATTAGACATTAGACATCCTTCATTAGCTGCGACAATCAGTGTGTATGGGTTTGGGAAAACGTTTCTTTATCGCTTTAATACGATATTTTTTTTAAACCAGACCTGTATGTAAAACAAACACGGTACATTAAACAAGGAACATAAAACAAAGAAAGTGAAAGGAGGAAAGGGAAATGAAAAACACTGGACAAGGACGCTTTTAAACATAAACACAACATCGATATTGAACACATTCAGACATTAAATATTCGCCGTATGAAACAAATAGTGTAGTTCGCAGTTCAGGTATGAGACGGGAACCTGGTGTCTTGATGTATGAATAACATGTGCTCGATTGCGTGTATTCGTTTCTAACAGGGTCGCAATGTTATCTCATGGTAGATATGTGTTTTAGAATGATAATATGTTCTGTTAGTGAGATTAGTGCAACATACGCTTACGCCACTAAACTGTCAACCAGAATTGACTTGAAAAACTGAGGGTATGCATGCACGATGTCGTGTTTGTGATCCGGGAAGTGTAGAGTAAGGTGTGTATGTGAGGGATCATATGTGCTTCCGTGTGAGAGGTCAGGCAACTTGTTTTCGCTTTTACAAGTACACGTTGGGTTTTAAGTTGTGGCTTTTGTCGCAGTTCTGGTATGAGGATGAACTGAGAATGAACCATAAGATCACATTAAGTCTCTGCCTACCAGGACCTGGCTATGCAAGACATTGTTATGAATGTAGACCTGGTTCCCTCATTGCAAAATTCCAAACGCATGGGTTAACATTCAGTTCATTCCAAATTCAAGGGGAGGTATTCTCCTAATCTATCTAGGTCACAAGTTTAGGATTACGAGAACAAAAAGGGAGCGAGTTCATTGGAAATGTTAAATGTTGTAAAACAGGTTGTCCTGCAACCGCCAACACCGTCAGTGATGTTCACATATGTTTATGAAAAGAAATATTTGTGTATATATATTTTTGTATTCAGTTACCATTTTCTCATGATCTGAAAATGTACGAAATGTGTATTCATGAATTCATCATGAAGAGAAAATATACGCAAAATGTTGAATTCCTGAAATAGAAAAAATCGAGATAAAGTTATAGTGTTTACTGTGTTGGGCTGAAACAGTATATAAGTTAATGCCCTATTGTTTAAGGGATTATAACTGCCTTTGTGTAGTTTGCTGAAAACAAAGCTTTGGTCCCTTTTTGGCACGTATTGCCCCATTCTTGATTTTTCTTGGGTTTTCTGTACATGATAAATAGACACATGTGAACAATTTTCTGCAATAATTGGCCTGTTATCACAAATGTCTAGGTTATTTTATTTTGACGTCGATTTCTTCTGGTCTAGTGCGTAGTGGGTCCACCAAGTGCATGTTTCAAAAGGCTTGATTTACATGAATACACACGCCTTTAACTGCAGCTGTTACTGCGCATTGCAGTGGCCGAGCAGCCTTGAATTACAAGCGCAGTCTGGGCACGGGAGTACACTGCACCGACACTGATAACATTCAGCCTGTGAGTATTATTAACTTGTATACATAGTGTGTGTATGACTTCGTATGACTGTACATGTATTTGGCGTATATTTAATCACGAGTGACAACTAAGATATATGTGTGACAGGTCCATCTGCTGTCTGGTGCGGTGTACGGCAAATAAGGTATTATGTCATAAATTGTACCTGCTGTATGGTATGGGGTAATGGAGCTGAGGTATGTATGCATTAATTCGTAGTTGTTGTCTGGTATCGGGTGAGGGAACTGAGCTATGTATGTGTCATTTCGTAGTTGTTGACTGGTGTGGGGTAAGGGAACCGAGGTATGTATGTGTCATTTCGTACCTGCTGTCTGGTATGGGGTAAGAGAACCGAGGTATGTATGTGTTGATTCGAAGTTCGAAGTTCGCTTTTTCTGTGGTGTGAAATCAGTGAATTGTTGTATCAGTGAAATGGGAGCAACACACGTTTGACATCCAGATTTATCTTGAGATCGTGTGTGTGATCCGGGTACGTGTGTTTGTGAAAGATCATCGGTGCTTCCTTGTATATGGTTGGGCAACCGAAGCATGCATATGAAAGATCAAGCGTGTTGTCTGGTATGAAGTTTGAACAACTGACGTACGTCCTTGACAGATCATCTGTGATGTTTGTTTGCACATCTCTGCATCCACGTGGGTTGTGGTGTCGACAGTCAGATGTGTGTGCATACATATTACGACACTAACACGATACGCTACTAGCTATTCAAATAAACCTCGAGCATGTAATCCAGTCCCTCAACAGTACACACTGCCGTCTACTGATCTCCATTCATGTCAGCTTGCTACTTGATATACATGCTCGGCGAGAATGAGAGCCTGCTATCACCTGGGACCTTAATGTTTGTGCACACGTGATACTTCACATATGCGATAACATTTTAAAGAGACAGTTGATATTACACTTATACATTGAGCTAAGCACACCTGTTCGTTGACAAAGACGAACGCTGAGGTGTTTAGATTTAGGAGGCGTATGTAACAAGGACATGGATGACATGCTAGCGTGTGCATGTACTTCTTTCTTTGTCGTGAATTCTCCTTGAATAGTATCGATGTGATCTTGTTTATCAGGTAACGTGCTTTAAGGCAACCGTGTTCAGTAAGATTAACAGCGAGTGATCGTCTCAACTAGGATACCGCGTCACGTGTAAACATGATAAGTATGGTCCCTATGTATTTCAGTAATCGTGTTCGTATAAAATGTGTTAAAACGCTGTTTTGCATTTGCGTTTGCCCATGGAATTCGTTTTGTCAGATATGGAATTATTTTCTGGCATTGATGTTTTGATTAAGTACTCATGAAATAAATGGATATACTACTGCCACTTCCATCTTGTGAAACAATTTCAATGCACTCACCCTTTCAACACTGAAAGGACGAACAAACATTTTGCTCCCAAACGTGCATGCAGTGACATACCCCTGCCGACTTGTTACAGAGAGAAAGTATGTCAGTCCAATTATAACGGGAATGTAGCTGGATTCCATACAATTGTGACAAAGGTCAACAAGATTCGAGCTAAGCACGGAGATAAAATGATTGCATTATTATACACGGCACATTCTTTACTTTTCTTTTAATTGACAGGAAACCAGATAAGTGGATCACATTCCCTCTGAACCAGACAGCTTGCACAAAGATATGCAAATCGGAGCAAAGGGTGACTAAATTACAGTGAGAGACACTGACATGCACACATCTAGTCTAAGCCAGCAGTAGACTAAGCAAGGCGTATAGCAACAGGCTGCTGTTTACTGTTCCCGACCGTATGGTGTGTCGCTCCAACACAATCTACAAGGACAGGAGGGGTAAGTTTGTCTACTACAATACACTTCAGTTCACGATAAATGATAACAATAATAGTCCATTTGTATGTAGTATATATTCATGCATAGTGCATGTTCAAAAGGCACAACAATAAGAAGTCATTTGGAGAAAATAAGATCGCTCTCGTCTCAATTGATCATACACACGTATCAAACCATTATAAACAACATCACTACAGATGTAAACGCATTGGATTCATATACATGTAACTATTCATGCTAAGCATGGTATAAACATGTCAATAATGAATGGTTCGTTTGCGGGTTGTTTGTTGTTTAACGCCGCACACAGCAACATTCCGGCTTTATGGCGGCGGTCTAAATAATCGACTCTGCACCAGACAATCCGGTGATCAACTGCAGGAGCATCGATCTTCACCACTGAGATAAGATGACATTTGGCAACCAATCCAGTGAGCTTGACTATCTGATCCCTTTAGTGGCCTCTTTCGACAACCTCATCTTCACGGGTTATGGGGGTGGTGGGGTAGCCTAGTGATAAACGCGTTGGCTCGTCACGCCGAAGACCCGGATTCGAATCCCCACATGGGTACAATGTGTGAAGCCCATTTCTGGTGTCCCCCGCCGTGATGTTGCTGGAATATTGCTAAAAGTGGCGTAAAACCAAACTCAGTCAGTCAGTCAGTCACGGGTTATGTATTTATGCACGAATAGCATCTGACTGGACATGTAAGAATGATATAAGTACATATGACATTGAGCAAATTGTGCGTTCAGAAGTTTGCTACAGGAGCAGAGTCAATTGGATAGCCATGCAACGTTTTTCCCCAAACACTGTTGATGTAGAACACACCATTTGCGCTGATTCCTCAAACAGTATCTGTTATCGATTTGACAGAGACCCCCATTCATATGCTCTTTCCTAGATTTATCAATGCTAAATAGTTAACCTGATAAATTTAGATTGGAAAGAGTCTACTGGCATAGGAAAGGTAGTGTCACTGACCTGAAATGACTGAACGCCACGCTGAGCTCCTTGACAACAAACAGACACTCAGATTTATTGTAATAAATCTTCAGCTTGTTTTCAAACATCCATGAAGTCATCTAGGAATCATCATCTAGGCCTATACTGCTTTGTGTGATTACCGGCACTGAGCTACAAGTATGTGGTAAGAGCAATGCTTCCAATGCACACATTTTGAGCCACTTGTATGCGCGGTCACTGTGATAGCTCGCTGTTAGCACTGGCTGAACGTGTTAAGAAGTTACACAGTGTAAAGCAAGCAAAGAATATTGCTTAAAATTCTTTGTTGGATACCAGACTCACTAACATCATATCAACTGCGAGCAGGTCAGCAATTGTTTTGTGGCATTAGTCGCAAACCAAGATAATAGGGTCTTTTGGTGTTACGCGGTCAGGAAATCAACCCACCGATATTTAGTTCCCAAAGCAGACGTTCTGTCCATTAGTGAGTGAGTGAGGTTTTACACTTCTTGTAGCAATATTCCAGCACTACCACAGCGGGAGACACTAGAAATTGGCTTCACACATAGAACCCTTGTGGATAATCAAACCCGGGTCTTCAGCGTGGCGAGCGGACGCTTTAACCATTAGGCTACCCCACTTACTCCCTTCTGTCCAATAGACCACGGACAGTGAAATATGTTAGGTCATTATCACATTAACGAAAATTGACATACTTCCTTCTGTTACAGAAACATAACCAGTGGTAAACATAATGAAATCATTAAAAACCCGTAACCAAAGTTTGAAACAGTTGGACAGTCGTTGATACTGACAGACTCGTCTGTTTAGTGTTGCTTTGATGTCATGAAGGGGTCACACTACATAGTTCGCTTCCAAACATTCCCAACTCCCTTCTGATGTATGTTAGGGCGAAAATTAACACCACTTCCTTTGATACCGTATTGACCGTAGTGGCCGAAGCTTACAATGTATTTATCGTACTGCCATGTTAAATGTCAGAATATCATTTTTCGTTTTTGAAGATCGATAAGCTGGCTACCGACTATATGAGGTGTAAACATAATAGCATCTGTCTTTCGACTGGATTTTTAAAATCAGTGAAACATATTCTGACAATCTTCAAACTGCTGTAAAAATGGTTAATGATGTAAAATAGTTAAATAGAGCAGTGAAAGTCGGTAAAATAAATGTGTACATAGTGAACTCAAACACAGCTAATCGAACGGTTTTCGAACTCCGGGTCATATTATGACGTCATACGTTTGTTAGCGATGCAGCCTCTCGGCGGAGAGTTTGGCGGCTACCGTGGCAGCGGGAAATATTTTTTCGGAAACTTATTAAAACGTCATTTACCACTGAAATTAAAGCATTTTACACGAAGGTAAGATAATGCCGTGTGAAACTGTGTCCTGATGTTCTAAGCGCTTGAAATGGATGTTTATGAAACGAAATATTTATATACTTTCATAATGACGCTTAAAGGGGAAGTGTACACGATAAAATCACATTTATTCTTATGTGAAACACAGTGAGATATTTTAAATATTTAATATCAATGTTTGAAATTATACACTCATTTTTCTTACAGTGAAAGTATAACCCTCAAAATAAGTGCTGAAATGTTACGCCATTATGTGGCCCTTGTTTGTTGAGCTAAACAGACCAGAGTTACCGCCCTTTGATTATGACGTAATTCGTGCCACTTGAATTTAGACTGGTCACCTGTCCAGTCCCAAATCAAAAGATAATAAATTAGAAATTAATCACGTGAGAAGAGTTTGTGAAAATACGAAAGAAGCCTAAGAACTGAAAATGTTAGCAGCAGGACAGATTGATCTCGTGTATTTTCATTCACAGCCTCACGTGAATGCAAATACCAAATATGTGTAACAATGTTGACGTACGTATGACATCACTATCGGGAAGCGACATTCTCAAAATGGCGTGTTCACTGGTCGTGTACGCCGGATATTTCGACGGAATTTGTATTTGGATATGGTATCGATAGGTGGGAAGAGTGGAAGAGGTGGGGCATATATTATACGATTTATGTAGGAATTAGCTAACACATGCCGACACATTCACCGATGGCAAGCTAGATGTAGTGCATAAACGTTTTAGTTTTTGTGAAAAACGATACTGTTGAAAGACGAACGACTCAGGTTGAATGTTATACAATTTGGTTTGCACAATGTATACGTCTTTTTCAAACTGCAACGTCATCACAATGTAGAACTGACCACATAGTCAGCTGACGGCCAATCAACAGCTGGATTAAAATAGTAGCCTGCGCATCGAGACACAATAACCACACCTATTCCTGCACCACGTGAAATGGGTGTAACAACGTCATTCGTTTATCGGTCTGGTACCAATGACGTCATTTCCAAGGCACATAAGCCATGGTGTGTTTATTGTGGACATAGAACTCTTGGTAAATGTGGAAAATTTGAATCGATATAACGCAAAAGAATAAATTAGTTACTTCTGATATCTTTACTGTTTTGGCTATAAAACTACTTGACAAACACTTTTATGATGAAAAAGTACAAGACAAAACGGTTAATTTTCGTGTATACTTGCCCTTTAAGCTGTAGGGAATGAATCTATTTTGTATGATGAAATTTATGTAAATTCGAAATTTGTTCAAATAAAAGGACTGATAGGGTTTGAAAGTGATCCCTTATACATGGTGTAATGGTAATGGAAACATCTGTCAGTGATACAACATATCTCCAGACATGTGGAATATACATAGTAGACATAAACATACTTTAGTATTTGGTATTGTAAGCGTTTATGAATATTGTAAACTGATATCAAACTTCAGCGCCAAGTTCAGTACACAAGTGATTCGCCATGACATTGAGAAACCTTCATTGATGAGTTTGGTTTTGGGGGGAACTGAGGCCTTTTAATGAGCATAGTATTCACTTCCAAGTTTACTGTCTTGTTCTCTAAATTATTTTGATCCCTTTCTTGTTTTCCTTAACTACCAGACTTTGTCTCCCTGGCCTCATGCAAAATGTACAACGCTGAAACTACCAGCATTAAAGCTCGACAATAGCTACCATACAGTGACGTCCTTTGTACGTCATACAGTACAATACAAAGTATTCCATTAATGGCAATACTTTGATATAGTTTATATTTATAATACAGCTTCCAAGATAATGGAAGGGCATGACTATTTATGTATGAAGATGTGAACATTTTAAAACGTGTCAAAATGAGGCTAATATACAAATATCACCAAATGAATGTTACACAAAGGTACACAATAATGAACACTATTCGTGTCGTGTCTTATCCCATTATTGTTTGTGGAATGCACACTGCTTGTTTTGCAGGAACCGCTTTGACACGCCAGAAATACTATACAAAGAAGATGCAAACCGTACTCACGTTTTGAGGAAGAAAAAACGTTCAAGAATAAAGGACAAAACGTTGGATGTCAGTTGGAAAATAAAACCATGAAGCACCAAAGAAAGGACATTGATCGCGGATATGCATGGGTAGTTTGTCTTGCTTGCTTTGCTATTGAGGTGCTCTGTAGCGCTCTAAACTCTTCTGTTGGGGTCATTACACCGGCCATTCTGGAAGAGGTTGATGGCGATTTGGTCAAAGTATCGTGGGTAGGGTCAACATTGCTTGGAACGTTCTCAATGTGCGGTAAGTGCTTGCTTCAGGCTACAACCATACGTTTTAGCTGTCAGTTGAGCAGAGCAGAGGGTTCAGGTCGAGTGTTAAACTACGTGTGTGGCAAACTCGTTTGAGAAGGCAATTCATATGATTACGGTTTATTCTGTTGTTCACAAATGTGAGGCTTCGCGCGTGCATTAGTCCATTACATTATTGTTCAATGTACCTCTTAATGCTTTGTTATATAATGATAGCTTCAGAAACATAAAAGTGAGTGAGTTAATATTTAACGTCACATCGGCAATATTGCAGCCATATCGTGACGAGAACATGTGATATTGAAATGAAATATTTGTATATTAAAAAACCTGCCGAGGAAGGACAGTAAAACAACTAGAATATCACAGATATGGATGTAAAACTAGTAATTAAGTCTAAAACGTTATAACTATATGAGAAAACAATACAGTATAAAAATGGACTATAAATCGCCAATAACTGAAGGTAGATCACCATACCAGGGATCATGGGGACTTACATTACTTTTGCTACCTGCGTGGACCCTTGTTGGATTTACACCATCCCTTCAGCCATTGGCGACAGAAGAGAAATCTAGCCATAAATTAAAAACACACATATTCTACGATTAAAAATCTGGTACACTTAGATTGACTAAATGTTTTGGGACTTACAGGAGGACAATCATTTTACAATACTTCAACCCCCTTTAAGGATACAGCCACTAACAATCTCAGTTGCTAATCTAAACTACCAATAATAAAATGTATACCTACTTACAAATCACTCAACAAATCTATTTTTTTTAAAAATGCAATAATTAAATGAGAACTGACATTATTAAAAAGATCCTTCACAGTTTTGGATTTGAAATAGATATCCCTTGTGATGGAATATTCAATGCAGTCAAGTCAGAAACATAAAAACTATGTATTGTGCATCTAGATGTACTTTATTGACAGGTACATTGATTGGGTAATTTTGTGATATATATTGGTATTACTTTGAGCAGGCATACATATCTGTGTGATTCAAAAAGAACCGACAGTCTGCAAGACTCGGAAGACTTTGTTGTTACGTCAGTCTTTGCCACACACAACTCAGGGTCATTGTGTAGTTATTATGGGCGCAGGTTCGGTATCTCATTGATTAATGACTGTTCATCCGTATTTTGAAACATTTGTCTCCAATGTTTGACGCTCAACCACGAAATAAATCATTACAGGAAAAAACACACTAAATATGCAGCATATTTACTAAAGTTTGTTGTGGAAAGAGTATGATGAAAGAAATACATGGTTCCTTCAAAGAACAAAATGTTTGAAATGAAATTCGGACACACGGCTATTGACATATCTTCCTCAGTGAGATGAAAAAGAACATGGGTCCAATGTTTTCGAAAGCCGAACGTGTCAAGTGCTGTCATTACGAGAGCGAACGAACTAATGATGGACTTTTTCAGGACCATTGGCAGGAATTGTTCAAAACAGAATTGGAAACAGATGGACAGGTATTCTGGGTGGTATACTGATGTTACTTGGACTGACAGCTGCATCCTTTTGTAGGACTGTCACTGGTTTGATCCTTACGGTCGGAGTCATATCAGGTAAGAATCATCATGCTTGTTGTGTAAACTTGGACAGCACATGTGGTCAATGTCACACTTTGATTCAAGGTTTCAAAACAAAATGAAAAGTTTGAAGAAATGTATTTTACAACAATAATCTTCTGACAACATTATTGAGTTGATATATCTGAATCTCAGTTGTAGGAGGCCAGCACATTTCCGAGGTGACGCAATATGACGTCCCCCTCGAAAATGTACTTACCCATGACGTCACCAAAACAAGATGACCGAATACATGCGCTGACCTCACCCTAACCGAATGACATCACAAAAAAGCCGACGTCCATGACTCAATACACGCGCCGGCCATGACGGATTGTAGGTGGCTTCCATCACCTAAAAGCGCTCACCACTCGCACAGTGCCCAACCTGTCTTTTTATGGCGTATTCGCGTTAAGGCGACTTTTTAGTTTCAGGTTTTCGCGTTAAGGCGACTGGCGGTAGTTTTTGATGTTTGGTGTTGTTTTAGTAACTGTTCTAAAAGTATGCCAAGCTGTTCCAATGTCTGACCCACTTTGTTAACGGACTTTATTATTAACTGACCCACCGGAAAGTAGGCGAGTGACGAAGAGGTCCGACGCCCGCGGGAGACCATCAGAAGAACATATAAAACTACTTACTGATTTAAGCCTGACGATATCACAAAAACGATGATAAAGCAGCTACGAAAGGATGGCTATCGTGAGGGACTGGACCGAACAACTGGTTCAGAAAGGTATGCAGCTTGCCCGGAGAGGATTTTATTATGCTTGTGTTTCGGACAAGGTTCCATGTGCCCGATGTGGTTTAAGATTGTGGATATGGTACGCCAATGACTATATTGACTTTGAACACAACAGGGATAGCCAATCGTGTGTATTCCTGAAAATTACGTTTCCCTTGAGATTCGACACTGATATTAGGATGCATACTGTCGTCTGACAAACTATGTATATCTACTTGTTGCTGTATTGCTTAAATGTGTACAGCAAATGTATCGGTGTTCAATGGTGTCCAGTATTGTGAATAAAAGGTATGAAAATGTATTTCACAATGCCTCTGTTGTGCTTCCTTTTGTCCTCGTGCTGTCTTGAATTGAAGTGAGCTTTACATGGACTGTTTGACACGATGTCTTTGATACTTTGGTAGAATATCGCCATCTTATCGTCTCGTATTGTAGAGAGCTTTACACACACAGGAGGACGTGCGATTTCGAGTGTCTATGTATATTTGCTTTGCGGTCTAGTATTGTATAGAGTTTTACATAGACAAACGACATTTACAGATCTCTTGTTTTGGTGATGTCATTCGGGGAGGGGGTGGTCAGCGCATGGATTTCTGCCATCTTGTTTTTGGTGACGTCATGGGCCAGTACATTTTAGAGGGGCACGTCATATTGTGTCACCACGGAAATGTGCTGGCCTCCTTCTACTAACCCTCCGTTGAGTATATGTAGTTATACATGTGAAATTTGTATCAATTGCTGCAGGAAACATATTTGATTCATAATCGAGCACCATGTGTCCGTGAATGAATTGATGAATAGTAAAACGTTTCCAACACTGTAGTCTAACCTACAAATCTACACCGCAGTAACTCAAACATTGCCCAGATACGGTGCCACCACATTTCATGGTGCTTATTTATGTCAAGTATAAGTAAATACTGAAATATCAAAATGCTAAATGCTTTGTTATTACCTATATAGGATAAAATACAGTGGAAGCTGTCTAAACCAGCACTCGTCGGGACTGAAGAAATAATTCGGTTTAGACATCGGTGGTATCTTTTTGATATTTACACATTGTGCAGTTAGTGAATGATCCCCAAAGCAGACACTTAAACAATGATATATACTGAGTCAAAAAAGAAACTTAACAAAAAGTAATTTGAAAAATAATGTATATTTTCACTGGACGACGGAACTATTTCTCTCTCACTGACTTCATTCACAAATCCATGGCATTCATTTGCATAGTTCACGTGCTACAGTCTCACTGACTCGAGATTTACAAGACAGGAACATATAGTTTCTGATCACCTACATCATACGTAGGAGATACTAAGTCCTACGTAGGAGATGGTAAGTCCTACGTAGGAGATATAATGTCCTACGTAGGAGATACTAAGTCCTACGTAGGAGATATTAAGTACTACGTAGGCCGTACTACGCTTCCGTATCATTTCACATTATAGTCAACCAAACATTCATTTCCCATGAGTTTCAGTTGACTTCTTTCAGTGGCATTCTAGAAGTTGGGTAGATGTAGAATGAGGACTCTTTCTATGGATATACAACTTTTTTATTCTATATAAGCGACGTTTCGACATAGATGCTAATGTCGCTGTCAAGCAAGTGGTACATGGGAAGTAATTTTGGTGATATATATACCTGAGATATTTGTACAATAGATGAGGGATGAGGCAAAACTCAGTTGTTTATACAATAGAAGAGGTTGATAACACAGGACTAAGTAGGTTGAAAGGAAGCCAGTAAAGATCATGTACATGGTTGTATACATAAGAGATTAAGGATGTTGATTGGCAGCCAGGTGGGAATTATGAATGAATGAATGAATGAATGAATGAATGAATGAATGAATGAATGAATGAATGAATGAATGTCTATATTTCCTCCAAAAATATATTCGAAGATTACATAAACAAGCATCAGTCAGTTACATATACCTACATATGATATGTACAAAGCACGGTTATTTACAACAATGATAGTTCAGAATACATCATGAATACATCAAGAATAGATCCTTTAAATGTAATGATGGAATGCCATGTTTCATAAAGGCCAGGGATGTGAAGTTTTGCACCACAAATCAGTACAAGGGCATCTTCATCATCAAGCATTTCAATTAATACATATAATTCTGCGTCCAGTAGGTCAAGTAGCGTCATATAAAAGTTATTTCTTTGGCTCATTACAGATTCACAGTGCAAAATGATGTTGGCACCGTGGTGATAGCAGTACTTATTACAAAGCATACATTCTTTTGAGAGTTTGTCTTTAGAACGGACTATTACAGCAAGTTGTATATGGTCTTTATATTCTGGGTACAGATACATTAGAGTGTAAAGACTACGTAGACTCAGTGTTTGATGGATTACAGCATATCTGGACATATCCTCTCTAATGGAGAGTCTCAATTTCCATTAAGCTTCTTCATAAGAGAAGATTCAACTTATAACTATTCTGCGCCAAACTGTCTTTGCCGGAAAATGCCAGTTTGCACGTATGTTAATACATAGTCCAGTAGATTATACTTCCGTGCTGTACATAACAGAGTGTTGCAAATACTGCGTGAGGTAATATTTAAGTGAACAGTGAGTGCTAAAAATGCACAGAACAGTGTTTTCGTTGATGAATTACAAGCGTTATTACATAATCTTCCAAGGAATGATAATGTACACTTGTCAATGTACCCAACCATTGCCCAGAGACATAGGTTGGCACATACAGAATCTGTTGGCATACGTCTGTTGAACCCTTGAATACATTTAGCGAAATATTGTTGGGTATTTTTAACTAGATCAATGTACATAGGTTGTTAACATAAGTGACAGAGGGACTGTTGGGAAGGCTAAAGTAAAGTGATGTTTACACGATGGAAAATGTATAGTTTTACACAATGCATAATGTACATTGGTTGAGTAGGGTTACATGAAATTAAAAGAACAAGCGGTGATAGGCCTTGGGGATGAAATATCCTTCATCTCTCTTGATGGCTGGGCAAATCGTTTTTATGTTGATAGCTGCAAGTAGTTTTCGGGTTCTGAATTCAGGCTGGTTCCTCTCGATGACTTTGGTGGTTTACCAGCTGATGTTGTGCTTTGGGATGGTTTTAAGGTGGTCGGTTAAATCCGCCATAACGACATTAGAATCTATGTCGAAACGTCGCCTATATAGGATAAAGAAGTTGTATATCCATAAAAATAGTCCTCATTCTTCATGAGTTTCAGTTCACAAAGTAATTACAAAAGGTTAAAACTAAGTCCGGACGACGGAACTATTTCTCTCTCACGGACTTCATTCACACATTTAGGGCATTAATGCGCATATTCTACGTGCTACAGTCTCACTGATTCGAGATTTATACGACAGGAACATAGTTTCTGATCACCAACAGTTCACATTTTGGTCAACCAAACATTCACTTTCCATGAGTTTCAGTTGACAATCAAAGTAATTACAACAAGTTAACACTAAGTCCGCCTTTGTAAACACGGCTGACCATTTGTCACATTGAAAGTAAATGGCCTCTGAAAGTGGACGGAGATTTGACAGTAACTTTTAAAGCTTGGGACTGAAACAATTTATTTACACATTTTTCGTAATTACTCGTACCTCGTTGGTTATTCTGTAATTGTACACGTAATAACTCATTGATGTATGCTTTCACAACCTGCTAACGTGTGTAATTTATATCCCCAGGTTTAGGTTGTGGTCTGGCTGCTAATGTGAGTGGCGTGGCCCCCAGCAACTACTTCAATAAGAGACTCCCAGTAGCATACGGTATCTGCATGTCTGGAGGTGCAGTAGGACTGCTGGTAATCGGACCATTAACAGTTCAGCTGTTAGAGATGTACAGTTTATCAGGCACGTTGCTTATTTTGGGTGGCATTACATTCAATGTGTGCTTAGCTGGAGCTCTAATTCGACCACCGTCTACACTGACGCAAGAGGAGTCAATGTCAATACATCTTGCCCACCAAGATGAAACAGAGGAGATTTGTGATGCACAAGGAGAGCTTACAATGACGATGCAATTAAGATAATGTTCTAACTGTAGAAAATACGACCATCAAGTTTGATCAGCGTGACGAGAACCAACGTCCTCCAGCTAATTTGCCTCGGATTGTTAAAGAAAACAGTCCTGGGAAAGGTAATGAAACGGCAGAATCTCTGCTTGAACACAGCTCGCATGTAACAACTAACAACTCACGGAAGTAGGATAATACCTCAATGTGTAACCTTGTTCTGCACAAATGGATTTTTCTTGTATCTGCTCAGTATCATTTTCTGGTCTCTTGGGGATGCAGCCTGCATGGTTCATTTACCAAATTTTGCTGAATTGAAAGGCAGTACACCTGTACAGTCTGCAAGTTTGTTCACTATCATGGGTGTACCGGCGCTTTGTTCCGGATTGCTGACTGGTTTTGCCTCTTCTGATCCAGCTATTGGAAACATTATCCTTCACGTTGGACTACAAGGAATGACAGGAGTATCCCTTCTGCTACTCCCCGTGCTGTCACATACGTACAGTCTCCAAATGATTTTCAGTGTCCTGTATGGTACATACAGTCAGGGACCTTTTACACTGGTTAGTCCTATATGCATTGAGCTGATCGGCCGATCCAAATTGGCCTTTGGTTACGGTATATGTTTCTTTTGCTTTGGACTCGGCAACATGGTTGGACCACCCATTGCAAGTAGGTTAACATTGAACGTATATTTTGCCTGTGAATGTGTGAGTGGCTGATTTGATAACGCGTTATTTAAAGGTCACATGCAACCAAAAAATCAAACATAATTAAAACCCAATTATCACTTATTCATGACATATAATATACATTGCTGGTTATGAAAAAACATAAAAGCAAAATTATAAGCGTACAATCGCAAATCAAAAGTGCAATATTGTGTACTTGGGTTTACTTCCCAAGAAACAAAGCAGCCGGTGCACTCAAGTGTAACGGCTGGTTCAGTTACAGATGCCCTCACGGCTTATTGTGAGTGTATATATAGATATGTTCGGTTTTGTAAATACATGCTCATTTTTTGTGTATAACATTTTACAATCAACAGACATCATAACATGTCATGTGTACAAGTATCACACCTGCCTGTCTGTGTAATTACATAATGTGCAAGAGACCGAACTCGGGCCATAAATCAATGCGTTTTGTTTATGGTGTATAGCTTGGTAGGTGTTAAGTTCAACTTGCATGTGGTCAGTGATTGAAATTGTGTATTGAATATTGTCATTAGCAGACGGGCAAGCAGAAACATAGGTGGCAATAAAACACATATTGAGTTTTGTCTTTGACTACGACATATCTATATCACAGTTAGCAATTCTGTCAACATATCTAAGTATCGAACTGAGAAAATGACTCGGTAAGAAGAACATGTGGTGAAATAGACAAATGAAATTATATAAACAGTTAAATCGGTACTCTACTGTAATAACATATAAAAAGCTCGTGGCTGTGAAATATCAACAAAACATTAGAAAAATAGCTTACACCAAAGCCTTCACCGAATATTCACCGGACAACCCGCTTCCAAGCTGTGCGAACCTATTTCACTGCGCATGTGCTATCAGCGAAGCCCAGCTGTTGAAACCACTTCAATTTCCCCAAGCGCTGGGGGAAAGTTAGTGAATTGTTTGAACTACGACTTCGCACGTTGTTTTTCATCGCGTTATTTTTCAACTTTATAAGTTGAATTTGCATTTTTGATGATTTGTTTCGGTAAGTCCATACCGAAAGGTATCAGAAACTGCAAAGTTGTGTTTTACGTTGCATGTGACCTTTAATGTGTTAATAGACGGCTTGTTACTCCCTACCTGACTGGTGCGTGGAGATTTGAACCAATCATGAAACATGCATTGTCATAGATCCTCAAATATGCATTTTGGTATATACTACTTAAGATTTTAGTCTTGTTCATTACCTTAAACTATTTTATCATCAAACTGAGACAAATGCCACATGAAGAACCACCACATTGTGTTTCAGGTCTTATTTATGAAAGTACTGGAGTGTATGTCCTTACGTTTCTTTTCTCAGGTAAGTAATTGTGATCACCATTATTGAAAAATCGTTAATAGTGTAAATAAATAAGTAAAATGAGTTTTATGCAACCTGCCAAATGAACATATGTTGAAAGAGGAAAGTCCACTAAGTGATATGAGAGTAAGTGTGCACTGCGAATTTAGTGAACAGACATACACTGTGAACAGACATAAACATTCGTGTCCCATTTGTTGGACTAAACAGTATCACAAACCATTTATGAAGCATACAACATCATGGGTGACATCATGGATGACATCATGGATGACATCTTCTTGTTTATTGAATAGAGCGACGTTTCGATGTAGATTTCTACACTGTTATCACTTTTAGCTTGATAACAGTGTACGATCCTACATCAATAGGTCGCTCTGTGCAATAAACAAGATGTCATCTATAAAGTTGTATGCTTCATTGTTTACTCCCCATGTTCAAGAATGCTGAACCTTCAGGAAAACAATTTCAATCAATTGGCAAACCTTTGATTGTGAGACGGTTACCTTTAATTTCTGATAAAGACAAACAATTAATTTAAGAGGAAAACAACAATCGTATATTTTTGAGAAACAACACGATTACTTTGCAACACATTGAATACTATTGTCTGTAAATATCCATTTAATGTGCTTGCTTTCTAGTTAAATGTTTTGCCAACATCAGTGCCTCATTGCTGTCTGCATATTCCATAGTAAGGGAGTATAGTTTTACTCTGTTTTAGCAATATATCAGCAATATCACGGCGGAGGACACCTGACATGGGTACATAACTTTTAACTCTGTGTATATTTGGTCATTGTTTCGTTGCAGGTGCCTGCTTCATCATTAGTGCCTTCCTCGCGTTGTGTATTCCATTGACCAAGAAGCTAACATAAATGGATATAGACTAAGTATGTTTTATCTCCCGCAACGAAGTGGGAGGGGAATATTGGTGTGACCTCCGTCCGTCCGTCCGAGATAATTGCGACATATCGTCTCAAAAACTGTTATAGACAGGGAAACAAAATTTGGTATGTGCGTTTCTTGACTTAGTGCATGGTATCCCCAATGGGGACAGATTTTCTCAGAAAGCGTTATAGATTGGGAAACCTAATGTATTTTCAGGACATGAATGGCTTGGTGGAGTTAACAAAGGTACCAAATAGGAACAGAACACTGTGGTGGGGATATTGATGACTATGTCTTATTGTTGTAACTGCTTTGATGATCAAACGATTGTTATCAAATTACAATGAATGATTAAACACGTTTTACACAACTACTGTAAAAGTTGGTGCCATGAACGTAGGGACACTGACATGACACTGACAAATGCTGAGCGTCGTTTTCACAACTTGTCAACAACGAACAGCTTCATCGATGTACCATGAGCCGGGAAATATGAGCAAGGTTCACCGTTTTTCCAAGAGTCAGTTAAAAAATAATAATAATGATTTTTCAAGTCGAAAATACTAGATTTGTAGCAAACACTGAAATACATCTCATCCATGAACATAGATTACATTAACAAAATCTGAAAATATACTTTAATGGTATGATTGTCAAGTTATTGGCTGAACAAATTTGATGTGGGACTATTAAAGAGATCGTATCAATGATTATTCTCGAGACATTAAAAACCTTGCACTGCACCTCTCCTATAGGTATGGAGGGTGATCCCAAATTTGAAAACAAGCTATTCAAATGTGTTTTAATTATTGTTTTTTTTCATTTTGAGTTTAAAAGAAACTCTTTCAAAAATAGAAAATCACAATCACCTTTGCTCTGCATCTCTCCCCCAGACAAAATGCTTCCAAATTTTAAAACATTTTGACTACATATCTTTCAAGTTATTGATTGAGCGAATCTTTCTAAATTCATACATTTAAAGTGCAAGAATCCGAAAAATACAACTTCATAATGAACATTTGCCCTGCATTGTATCTTTTAGACAAGGAGGTTAGTCCCCTAAATGACGTGGTCTCTTTAATTTTAACCCTGCCGTGCAATGTCCACAGATACCCATCACATGTGGTATATTACTGTTTTACACACGCAGCGTGACACACTAATTCAGCTTGAACTACACTTACCTTTCTTGGATCTGTTACAATAGTCGCTATCCTCTTAACAATCTCCATGGCTCCTAGTATGGTGATCTACCCTCAGTTGTTGGCGATCTATAGCCCATTTTTATATTGTGTTGTCCCCTATAGTTAAAATGTTTTGGATTCAATTACTAGTTTTACATATATATCTGTGATACTCTAGTTGCTCTACTATCATGTGTCGGTAGGTTTTATAATCTCTCTATATATTATATTTCAATGTCAAGTAATCTCGCCACGATATGGATGAAATATTGCCGATGTGACGTTTAATACTAACTCACTCATTGATCACTCTTGACAATCTGACATCGTTTGATGAAAACATTGAGCTCCAATGACTCATGAAGATTAAACAGTGCCATGCCTGGTTGATATACTTTGCACTTTGTATAGAAAAGCACAAACAATTTGCACAAACGGGCACTTTTACCCATTTTAAGACTGTGCATTAGGCGTATGTATGCCAGTTGTCCAGGTTTTGATATCTATCTTCGAGGAATCACTCATGATAATTTGGACCCGTGAAGATCCGGGGTAGAATAGGTCTTCAGCAACCCATTCTTGTCATAAAAGGCAACTGCTTGTCGTAAAAGGCGACTAACGGGATCGGGTGGTCAGGCTCGCTGACTTGGTTGACACATGTCATCGGTTCCCAATTGCGCAGATCGATGCTCATGTTGTTGATCACTGGATTTCCTGGTCGAAACTCGATTATTAACAGACCGCCGCCATACAGCTGGAATATTGCTGAGTGCGGTGTAAAACTCAACTCACTCACTCATGATAAGTTGGATGTCATGTCAGATATAAGAGACTTTAAGTCGCTATACGAATACCATTTAAAAAAATCAAACAACTTATTTTCAAATCTAGTTTTGGACTTTTCAAGATTTTAATAAAAGAAAAAAGAAAAGAACCAAGTTCAATAACTCGCCTTCTCGTCTCTTTATTAAAGCTAACGGGATCGGGTGGACAAGCTTGCTGACTTGGTTGACACATGTTATCGGTTGCCATTTGCGAAAATTGATGCTCATGATGTTGATCACTGGATTGTCTGGTCCAGATTCGAGTATTTACAAACCGCCGCCATATAGCTGGAATATTGCTGAGTGCGGCGTAAAACTAAGCTCGCTCACTAACTTGATTAGAGATAGAGAAATGAGTGAATTCTTGTCCATTTTACATTTGTAATTACACATTTTAAGTAATGTCAAATGTGTCATGTTGAACCGGGGTGATGGGGTACCCTAATTGTTAAAGCGTCGGTCCTTTACGCTGAAGACCGAGGTTCGATTCACCATATGGGTACAACATAGCCAACGACAATCACAAACATTCTTTCTATTAATCCTAAATAGGTTGTCTTGCTTGTGACTATTTCAATATGTTTCAACATGAACATGCAAGGCACAGAATACGCAAACCATACTTTGAACTTTAAGGTTCTTGGAAACATCACACCATATTTAATTCAGGGACTTTATGCTATCAGTTGATGTAAATTTTGGTTGTGACACATTAAGCAAAATGTTACTCTTCAGAGCGCATTAGTCACAAATGTGTATGTATGCTTCTGAAAACGATAGGGTTTTCAGGTTGGGCTGTTGATCAGATTACGACTGTTTCCAACGATTTGAAACCGCATAAGAAAAATCTGGCAGAGGTATTCGTTTTTGTATGCCTTCGTATGGTTCAAGTCATATGATACCCAGTTGTCAACTATGACACTATAATATTTGAACGATCGTTATGAGATTTTACAAAACTTCATTTCAGGTTTTCAGAAAAAACTCTATTTAGACATGTTTTTGGAGGTGCGAAATCAACTAAAGAGAAAGTATACTTTTACATTAATAATGACTGCACATGACAAATGGAATTATAGTACCTTCAATAAGTGAAAAGAATAGCAAAAGTATGCACACAGCAAACCTGCCTGAATGATGACAGTATAGCATATACGGTGTGTAGAGATGATGAGTGTCAATGTCACCATATCATGACTTAGTGGTGCAGTTTACTTGTAATTATTCCATTTTATCCTCACTTGCCGTCTGTCTAACGCAGAAAGAGGTAAGCCGGTGCTGTAGATGCCTCAGTTACTTATGTGCAGAACAATTATGGAATCAGCACCGGAAACTAGGTAACCAACAGTTCAAAACATGTGTGGTGAGTCGGTTTAATATTACTACTTATCCATCTAAGGTCCATGCAGAATGCACATGTACTGTAAGCTCGCATTGTCCCTAGTATGGTGATCTACCTTCAGTTATTGGCAATATATAACCCATATTTATATTGTGTTGTTTTCTATAATTAAGACATTTTAGATTTACATACACGTTTTATAATCATATCATATCATATCATATCATTAGAACATTTAACTTGTTTATTGTCACAATATTTGAAATTTGTCGATTTGACTTAAAACCTTAACTCACTCATACACTAATATCACTCAGCATAAACATGTCACAAGTAAAAGATTCGAACCCTAAAATGACTGAACAGTGTGAGATAGTTTTTAAAGATTATCATTGTTTGCACGAAAATCTTGATGAGTGCGATGTACACAGAAAGGCAGGTTTAAATATTTATTCTGCAGAAAGTTGTATTCTGCACAAAATAAGAGAAAAGGAAAGTCATCTTCTACCATATTTAAATCAGATTCCTCACAAATATTCATTTTTAAAGATATTTACCTATGTCTGCCAACTTCCATCATAAGTCTATGATTAGTGTATCTAAACTGTCCACACAAAGTTTCCATAACACTTGACCGATGCTCCGTTCGAAAAAGAGTACGAATTACATTTATGTCACATATTTGAAGAGAAATGTTTCAAAACACTATTGAATGTCATTAAGCCTTGTCAGACACCATGGTTTTTGGTTATATTGCGGTATTACAGGAGTGACACTTCGACCCTCGTCTGCGTGTGAGAGTACCCCAAAGACACTCATAAGAAGTGACAATTTGTATCGGTTGTGAGGTAAAGAATATCTTGTCCTAGTTACAAACTAAAAGCGTTTACAGGGAGTTTACAGTTAGAACAATACAGCCCAGGTGATCTACCCACTTTTGAACGCCTTTTATACTACTTTAAAACCTACTTACAGCTGTAAAACTAAGACACCATCGTCTTCCGTGTTTAGTGTATTCTTCCGTCTAATTGACATATCATTTGTAGAACGCATACCGCTTTTTGGCTACACCATAAACATGACACACGTAGGTAATGACCGCACTCCCTCACTCATCTGTTGATGAAAGAGACTATTCAAGAAAAAAGAACATAATACTGGAAACCACTTTGAAAAATAAACTGGTTCCCCATACAGAACAATCCATGAAGCTCTCAAGAAAGAACGTTGATGGTGGATATGCCTGGGTGGTTACTGTAGAATCTGTAGAATCAACTCTGGTGGGAATATTCTAATCTGACAGTACTTTAACCCCCTTTCAGAATGCAGCCACTAACAATCGAAGTTGCTAATTTATACTGCCATTTATAAACTATCATTTATCTACAGGTATTTACAAAACATATAGTTCAGAATTTATCTTGTAATTCTATTCCCTTTCAAAAAACAAGTATTAAATGATAATTAACATTGTAAAAAAGTTCCTTAAGTGTTTTGACATTGAAATATGCATCCCTTGTGATGGAAAAGTCAAGGGATACACCTCACTTTTTAACAGGTATTCATGAGTGTATCTTGTATTCCCATATTTGATGTAATTTATTGATACCTATTGAAGGTGACTAACTTCTTTTGCATTAGATCGCGGATATATGATCGAATGACAGCTTTGTAATCAGAGTATGGAATAAGAAGTGGTGTCACAGATTTGTTGAGTGCCTCTTCAGCAGCAAAATCGGCCATTGTGTTACCAGAAATTCAAACATGACTTGGTAACCA